TGAGTTCCCCAAGAAATTCTACAAACCTTAAAAATCCCAAGCAATATACAGTAGTGATTTTGAAAAAGCTTGGACAAAGTTCAAAAGCTCAAATAGAGAATCACAACTGAAATGTGCAAGCCAATGCCTAGGTTGTGAAGTGAGAGCAGAAAAGATATGGCAAATAATGAGCTATTGGTCATGATTTACATTAATAACTAAAGATTAAATGAATACCAAGAATACAATTCAAGAAGAAAGTTTCCACAAAACTCCAAATTATGGATGTCCATTGCCACTTTGTCTAGATACTTTCTTAGCACTAATTTGAACCCAATAACTTAGGAAATAAATCTCTAATCAAATGGTTACATCTGTAACTCATACCTTTACACTGCCTGAACATATGCTACTTTTCAGGAAAGACAGCTTTAAGTCTCACAGGTGATGACACATGAAATATACAAATATAAACAAGGTAAGAAAGAAACAAGAAACTAAATTCTGGATCTTGGGCACTCAACCTGTAAAATTTCAATTCAAAGCGACTGGCAGTAGAAGTTTCAGCCCAACAAAATAATTAACTATTTAAGCCCCAAAAAGCAAAAAGAATAAAGCAATACTAATGTATCCGCTACCATCAAAGTTTTCTCTCTATCAATCATATCTGAAGAATTGAAGAGACACTGATAGGAGAACTGAATAAGACTTCTTCTGAAAAAACAGAATAATAAAAGAAATTATGCAGGAGTCGAGAGAAAACTTCTGTATTCATAGCAAACTATTTAGGAGCCCTGCTGCAACCTTGACAGCACATAGAATAAAGAAAAAATTGGCAGTTGCCTTTCACAATCTTATGGGTTAGTTTAGCCACCTGAAAAGAAAAAAAAAAATCTTATGGTCTAGTTTGGATGATTGAATTATTAGTAATTGTAATACTACCTTTTACTTCATATTCTTGGAATAAGAAGTATCTACCGGAGATGAATATAATGACTCCTTTATTCCTAAGTTACATATAGCTTTACTAAAACCATGTTAAGACAGCTCCGGTTAGGATATCCAAAGATGTTTCAACAACTGTTTGAGAAACTATTCACAACTCCGAAAACTACTAATCCCCTAGCTCCTAATTCCAAGAAGAATGATATCACCTGATCAGACTGTGAACCAAATGAGCCCTAAATATTCAAGCTAATATCAATGTTTTCCTCAATAAGATATCCCCAGTGTTGGCAAGATGACAGGAAGTTAGCCGTCAAGAAAAGGAGTTCAAAAGGTATTGAAGTATTTGACATGATAAAGAGTATTGCTTTCATCTAATCAAGAATCACTGGAAAAAGACTGCAAAGGGAAAAAGAAAAGACCACATGAAGAAGACTAAATAATGAAGAAAAAGGACCTATGTTGGACAGAACAAATATGCAACACATACTAACGACCAAATAACTCAACTAGAAAAAATAACAAAAAGCTCATCAATGGAAGCATTATACTCTACCTTGAATACTGAGATGAAGGAAAAGCTCCCGATCAAAGATGGCTTCTTGACAGGTGGCCTTCGCACTGGTGGCATTTCTTTGCACAGATTCTGCGCTATCTCCTTCAAAAGTACCAACTGAGCTTTATCTGTCCTCATAGAGATTATTGCCTGCCTCATCGATTCTCTATCAGCCTCAAGTGCTTGAAGTCTCATATAGAGCTTCTGTATGTCGGGGTCAACCATATTGGTATTCGCCAACGATCCCCTAGGAGTTTCCATATAATCATCACCAATTGCAGCAGAAGCCTTGGGTTCTTTGACACCATTACATTGGGGTGCCCCAGGATGAACAGAATCAATTGTGTAAACTCTATCGCTCATGTCATCTCCGATATCTGAGGCATTATCAACCTTCCTCAAATTAGAAAGTTCCTCTGGATGCAGATATTCTGGCTTCCTAAAGCTCCCACCAAACCGTGGAGAATCCATGGAAAAATCTGGACCCACTTCTCTAACATTTGCAGAGAATGAATTATAACTATCAGTTGAGAACTTCCTCAAGTGTTTAGGCCGCCTTGGAGAATGACCAACTATGACCTTTTCAAGCACATTTTTCGTACCGAAAAATTCCCCTTCAGGCTGATTATTCCTCGGACTTCTCTCCAATTGATTGATGCGATGCTCCAAATCCTTCAACTGATCCCGAGAACGTGGAGTTTCTCCAAATGCATATTTCTCAACATCCACAGATTCATTATCGGGTTCAAAATAAGCCTGATTTTCATTCAAATTGCATTTAAGAGGGGGGTAATCATATGTGGGAATCTCAAACTGTCCATCAAGGTTCTCAATGATGCTGTTACTTCGGGTCATGGAGCCATTCCCCAATTTGTCTCCCTCAGCCTCAGCTTCTGTGAGCCCATAACTCATCATTCTGTGTTTATACATTTGCACCTCACAGGTGAGTGATTGAATAGCCTGCTCTCTCTTGTAAAGCAAATCCTCCATTGCCAAGATCTCGTGCTGGTCATGTGCCATTTTCTCCTCTGCAAACCTCTTGAATTGGCGAGCCTCCATCTGAATCTCCGCCTTCTCCCTCTGCAGCCTCAAGATCATCGACATAGCTTCATTGGCAGCAGATGAAGCCGCATTCCTCTCCTCCTCCAACTCCACTGAAAGGTCCTGAATGTTCTGCTGTTGGCTGGCAACCATCTCACGCAGCGCAGCACATTCATTTTCCATCTCAATACGAGCATTTTGAGGTATAATAAACCCTGGAATCACAAATTTGTTACCCCCTTCGTCATATTCATCAAATTTCCGCTTGACGGAACGTAGCATGGTCCCAGAGAATGACCTGTTCATGATCGGCGAACAACTACACCCACAATCACAACAATTTACCAAACTTGTGGACGGCTTCGTATCCATAGCTCGCCGAACATTCAATCTCAATATCTCAGTCCTCCAGTTTCAAATTCAAAGTTTCCCAATGAGACGTTTGTAATGTATATAGCTATCAAAGCTGTTCATATACGTAAATGGAAAAATATATATGTATTCTTCACACAGCAGAATTTCCGCACCCTCCCTCTGGAAAATCATATGTAAATCTCCCCCGTCGGCAATCCCGCATTCAATTCGCGAACTTATTATTGTTTCATATCAAATCAACCAAAAAAAGGACAATGATATCCTGCAGAATTTAAACAAAATCCATGAATTATATTAACAAGCCCTAGTTTACACGATTATAAACGTTTAATGAGGGAGAGAAAGACAACAGGGAATAGGGAGGGTTACCTGGTAAAAGTTGGAAGCTGAGAGCCGGGGCTAAAAATTTCCCGGGAAAACGAATTTTCTGTATAGTGTTATATGTTTCAGTTCGTTTTCCAGGGAAAATTGAGGATCGTTTTTTTTTTTGGGAGGGAGGGGGGGGGGTGAGATCCCCGAAGACCAGGGAAAATATGAAAGGTCGGAAAAGAAAAAATTTCCCGGTGGTGGTTGGAAATTTGGGGAAGCGACGGAGGAAACAAAAACAAATTGAGAGGGAGAGTGGAACAAAAAAATAAAATTAAAAAAAAAAAAAAGAAGAAGTAGTGTAGCCTGGAGAGAGAGAGAATTTGAAACCCTAGTTTTTTTTTTTTTTTTTGGGGGTTTGTTATTCAAATTTTTTCATTTTTTTCCTTCGGATACGCTTCGTGTGTCGTGGAGAAAGAAATGATTATTGTTGGAATGTTTTTGTGAGGGAGAACTTGTTTGGTGCAGGGAGAGAAAAGTAAAAGAGGTGAGAGTTCGGTTAAATGAGGGGTAAATAGGGAAATGAGAGCATTGGGGGGCTGTTAATTTTGGGAGGGAGGAAGAATATTTGACGGATTCTACAACAGAAATAGCTGTGGCTAATTTTGCGCAGAATTTTGTCCGTGATCATTATTCATTCCTAATTCCCGCCATATTTTTGCAGTGAGCGTTGGGGGTTTTGTTTCATCGTGTGACCATGATTGCAATTTGTTAGCCTTGGACATTGGTATTACACGCCATACCAACACCCCCGTTCCACCACCACCACCACCACCACACGAAGAAAAAAGAACAACTTCAATTTGGATTTGTAAGGTAATCAAGATTCAATACATAGTTAAGCACAAGAAAATTCAAAATTTGGAAGTTTGACCGGACGATCGAAGTAAATATAAATATCTTAGTTGGATCGTGATTTTTCACAGAAAAATTTTTGTGAAAATATTTTTTAATTACTTTTTTGTTGCACGCATATCAAATTGTTACTGCACATTTGTTTTAATAAAAATTTCTAAAAATAACAATTCAAACCGGATAATTTGTTAAAGGAAGAATCTGCCGTGTCTTCTTTCTTGCTTTGGAGTTCAACTGGATCTTGTTGTATGTCAGCATGTAGACTCCGGCCAAAACACTCTTGAGTACAATCCAAAAGTACTCTCTCTGTTTTCCTAGATTCAACCACTTGCTAACAAATGGAGTACCATCAGGTATGATGCTGACTAACCAAATCTCTTTTGTTTCTTTACATTACAAGCCATAATAAAGATGTTAGCGAGAGCCACGTTCTCTTGACTTTTCTTCTTCAAATTATGGACTACTCAAATTTGTAAGTATTCAACTATTACCTTTTTTTGACTGAATAATAAAAGTACGAAGTACCCAAAAACAAACGTTCCTCTTAAATACAGATGCACACTAACATTAGACCTATTCCAAAATAATAATATCATTTAGGCCATTTTGTTAAAAGGTTTTTTGGATTTTAGATATAGATATATATATATATATATATATATAATGAAGATGAACGCTTTTTATTGACATTTCATGCCAAAAAGTAGGATATAACCATTCTTGCATTTATCCGACCGGATAATAAAAAGCCTCTAAGCCAGGGTGAACCGTGCCATGTCATAACCACTTCTTTTTCTTGACCAATGCTTGCACGTTTGTTGATAAAAGAAGCAATTGCAAAAGCAAGAACTAGAAAACAGAGAAGTGGTCCTCGATTCCGGTGTGCTTAATTAAGATAATCATTCATTAGTGAAGTAGCACTTCCACTTCTATGGCCCAATCACTAGTTGTAATTGCTAACAAAAAGTTTCAAAGAACATGTGGATTGGAGGGACGAGGACCCTACTCGCAGCTTTCAAAAAAGAATGGTGCTTTTTAGGTTAGACTTTTAATTAAGGAAAAATGAATTGGATAGCACAAAAAACGTAACTAACTAGAGTACTGCGTTACTTTTCTGCTGGAGGTTGGCCGGATATTACAATTGGCTCCCTCAACCGTCGCTGAACTGTAGGGATTCAGTCTCATGGTCTTGGATCATTCATTATTCAACTTTCATAGCTGCCTTTTTGCCAGGCAATTAACTCACAATTAGAGTCATTTTCAACATCTGTCGAAGTTCTGAGAGCATGAGCCAAACAATTTCCAAAGGGCCACCTTTGATGGATGACACCATTTACTCGAGAATCACTTTCAAGTGCTTATACTCCAGTAGAATTTCTAAAGAGTCTAGAAAGGCTGTAGCCCATCAAACCCCCAGGCATCTGCTCCATGTTCAAGCAGCACGAATTTTTTACTATCAGCCTGCAGGAAACCAATAAGCCCATAAAGAAGAATGATGCAGAATGAAGCATCATACATAAAGCCGTGAGATTACCTCATCCCACGTTGGGGCTTTCCTTCTCAGTTCAATCCAACAATCTGCAGTAGAACATCTTGCCTAGGAATCTCATTCAGCCTGAGCCTGAAAAATTCACATAATTGAGCACAATTATATGTACGCTAAGGTCAACTCTATAACCCTATGTACGATCAGACATTACCAGCTTTGCTCTAAGCATTTGACACTCAGCAACAGCAGCATCATAGGCCTCAGCCATTGACTCATAGTCAGAACGCTGAACAAGCAGTATATCTGGATGGTGGGCAGCCTATAAAGAGAATACAGTACTATAAAGAGGCACCCAGAAAAGGAAAGACCTTGGCCCCAAAAGAAAAGAGAATACAACCCAACAGAAAAGGCTCACCACCCAGTGGGATAATACTTTGGCCCCAGTTTCAACACCACCCAGAAACCGACTCAGATCAACAATCTTTCCAACTGAGTGAACAGCGAACCATGAGGAGTAGTCTACATTTTCATCCATCACAAGATTATCAGCTGGTCTCCCTACACCTACCTCATCCTCTGGTGTTAGATCATGGGTACCATGCATCCTGTCTGGAGGTGGGAAAGGCACTCGACAGGGAAAACCTAATTGCCGCCTACACCTCTCTCCAAGATAGTATTCCCAGGTGTCGATGCTCTCAAAAGGGGCCCGCTTCTGGGCAAGAGACACTGCCTGTACCATGTCAGTTGAACCAAATTCTGAACTTGCTAAATAAGGTTGCCAGGTAACCTGACATTGAAGACACAAGAAAATGAGCAGGAAACTAAAAGGAAATAAGCTGACTCAGAGCACAAGAAAAACCAACCTGAGCCTCTTCAATGTAGTCCAACTGGCAACGGGCAGCAAAGAGGTCAGAGAAGTCAGCAGAGGACAGAATATTAGGACAACTCCAGCGAATGGCTCTTGGAAACACATCAGCCTCAACAATATTTGGGCGAAAGATATCCAAGTACTCAAAAGCCCAGAACTATATGAAAAATTAAGATTAAAAACATAGGTCCAAAAAGAAATGGAGAATAATAACAGCATCAAGCAAATAAACTTTTGAAGATTACCAGGAGAAAAGGCCAGAAGCCCGTAAAGGCTCCTGTCTCTCCAGTGACCTTTCTCCTCATCCCAGCAAGAAATGCGGCAAACGTGATTGCAGCCCAGTTGTAGTTTCCAACCTCATCAATATGCTCCAGATATTTGACAAGCTGATGATTAATGACAGATCGATTGTTGTTAAAGAAACAACTAGCAACAACATAAAGGAACAGGCGGCGGAACATCACTGACTTTGCTTCATTATTTGCAGGGGCCATCTTTACCTCCTCCATGGTAGGTGTGATGCTACTAAGACGAATCTTTCCCTCTGTGACAGCTGCACTCTCAACTCCAAGAAGTTCCAGAGCTTTAATCATCTCAAATTGATGATTAAACCTAATAGATTCACCTTTAAATTGCAAGCCAGTAACCATCGCCCAGTCAACAGGCGTTGGACCTATTTCACAGCAGGGTAGGTGAATTGTATTCGTCTCACTAAACCACCTCTCCATTAAGGCCACAAGATATGCTTGTGGTATGTGCACAGGATCAATCTTTAGAAAATCTCCAAATCCAGCTGCAACAAAAAGTTCCTTGTACTGGTCATGTGCCTGACGATACAATCCCAGTGCAGTAGGCCAAGCGCCCCGAAAATTAAGATTTTGGGTTAAAGTACCCTGTAATAAGGCAAACTATAAGTATGTGAACACAAAGTTAAAATGCTAAAATTCTGCTTAAAAGGCTATCTTTTCACCCGTCCAAGCCTTGCATATATTGAAGGGTGCTTTCCCAAATTATGAAGCAGTGGTGTATCAGGGATGCCTCTCTGCTCAGGTGGTATAACATCTTCGGTAACCTTCTTTGAGGGCTTTCTCTTCTTCAGTCCTGAAACTTCGCCATTAGCTTTTTCTGAACCAAGATCCTGGCCAGATGTAGACTCATCTCCACAGGGCCGTTTCCTATTTCCTTGACGGCCTCTTCGTCCTCTACTTCTTTTGTTCTCAGAGACAATGCTAGTTGACATAATCCTTACAAAAGTTTCAAGGCACAAAGAACAAAATTTAATTTGGTAACAAAAACGTGTCAAGGCACATTGATTTTACAGTCATCCAGTAATAAGACAAAACAAAGCTCAGTTTTGTATCTTCCAATCAAAGGGAAATAAAACATAACAGATATATACTCAAACATCACAGCTCAAACATCCATAATTATTTGTGAAGGACAGTTTATCCAAAGGATGTGGATTTGAGCATGCTCGGGTTCAAATTTAATTACCCCAAAACAAAAAGGAAAAGGAAAATTGCAGAATTTCCAGATGCAAGAGCAAGGAAAAGTTTAATGAGTAATCGCAGAATGTACTTCTAGAGCATCTTAATACAAGTAATAAAGGACGAATGCAAAGGACGTTGCACAATCAATATTATTACTAGTATCAGTTCGTGAAAAAAAAATCCAAAAAAACATACAGCTCTGCTTGGAGTGACCGTAGACCTAATTCCTATACATAATTACCCTAAATAAAATATTTATTCGCCAAAATACTCCTAAACTGTAATGATTTTGTCTTTGTGTAGGTATTGTGCGTGGATAGTGTGTGTGTGTGTGTGAGAGAGAGAGAGAGAGAAGAAGAAGAAGAAGAAAGAGAATTACATATGATGGGGACATGTAGGCAGCTTCAGCTGCTGGTGTCACTTCCACCACCGCCGGTCTGACTGCGCAAGTAGAGATGAACCAGAAATCCAGTGAGAATCGGAAAAAATGGAGGGAGAACCGAAATGTCTACGAACAAGGCCCAAAGAAACCCAACTTACCGGTCCACTTTCGTTACCCTTTTTCCTTTTCTTACTGAAGTAAGAAATTAATTAATTAAATTTAATCTCGAATTTAATCTAAACAGTTGGCAACTCTTAAAATAAATCTGAAGGCTTAACTAGCCAACCGTTACCCCCAAAGAAGGGACGCGGGATAGACAATCCTCTTTCGTTACCCATTTTGTAGTTTGCAGTCGGTATCAGTTGGGCCACAGCCTCCATCACGTCATGGCCCACATTTCCTTGTTAAGAGTTTTCTATTCTACAAATGGATGGGCAATGGTAAGACTAACCAAATGCATAGGCAATGGTAGAAATGTTTTTTATCTGAACGGATCCAACTCAAGAAAAAAAAAAAAAAAGAAGATCTGAACGGTTCAAAATCCAAACCAACATATCTGAATTTTTCTGAGTAAAATACATTAAACCCCATGTGCTTTGCCATTTTAGTCGAAACTTTCTCATTATTTAAAAATACTCATTTAAATTTCTTATGCTTTGAACTTTTTTGGAAAATGAATGGAAAGACGTAAAATTTCAATACTAACCCCGTTTTCAAAATGTACCAATAGTTAATTTAGGATTTAGTTGTTATTTTACTAAATTTCTCAATTTATTGGAGAACAAAAAGTAAATTAAGGAGCTAAATTGAAATTTTAGAAAGATTTCGTCTTTTCCAACCTTCCTTCCTACGCGCTGCGAACACTAATGCCTTTGAGAGGGTGAATGGCTTGGGCAGATTTGAGAGGCTTTATCAAAGGTCATGGGGATTTGGGTTTCTGCTTGTAGTTGCACCAGAAGGGAAAGGAGAAAAAATGAAAAACAAAAAGAAGAAGAAAAAAGAAGGAGGAAAAAAAAGAAAAAAGCATAAAAATATAAAATAGCAAATTGTCTTTGATATATTGCTACCACACTCGCTCGCTTGTGAAGCTTGTGTAACTCACCTTCCGTCAAATTGGATGATTTCCGTCCATTTTTTCAAAGAAGTCCAAAATATAGGTGATTTATCTGAATATTTTTAAATAATAAGGAGATTTCGTGTATAATAAGTACGTCGAAAGGGAAATTTAGTGTATTGTACGCTTTCTTGCTTCAACTTGAAAGTAGAAACCAACATCATGGTTACCCTTTTCACAGCAAGTAGAAAGACAAGTTTATGGAAGCACATAACTAAGGTGTAGCAAAGAAAATGCCACTCAAATTCACAAACTCTTTGAAACACTTGAATGTCTTAAATTAACTAGTTAAACCAACATTGAACAAGATTTATCCATTCTTTACCATCCAAATGCGGCTCAAAAAATTTGGATTTTTAATCCATCAATTAGTTGTAATTTACATATATGATTTATTATCTCCTCATTCCCAGTCTTCAACATCTTTGCAAATGTCCAATGCAGGCAAATAGTGCAAAATCAGCGGAACTTACTTCAAACATAACATTTTCTCGCAAAGGGCAGGAGAAGTTTGTGGACTATTTGTACATGTCTAAATTAGTTAATTGGAGCTTTCAGACATGAAATTCTTGACAATCTGAACCACATTCTGGGACTCTCCGAAGTAAGGATAAGATGTGAAGAAGCCATGCTGTTTTCCCTTAAACTCGACATACTTAACGTTATTATTTGAACTTTTCATCCTCTTCTTTTAAGATTTCATCCCCACCAACGAGCACCAAGAAGGATCCAAGCTCAAACCTTCTAGGCTCGGGCCCTTAATTAGGTCCAAATGGGTTCACCAACGGGTGGTCTCTATCAGCTCCATTCGGCATTGCCAGCCTCCAAAACCTGCAACCCCTCAAACTGATTTTACTATTTATATATTCATACAACCATGCACATATATATTCTTGTGGGATACATTTCAGGATGAGAGCACGTTACATCCCTTTCCAGTTCCAGCCAGGCAAAAATGCCGACTCAAAAAATGAAAAACTAGATGGAAAAAGAAGTTAATATATCGCTCATGACGAACTAAGGACTGAATGAAGTGCCCTTTGTTGTTTTCTAGCTCACCAAAAAAAAAAAAAAGAAGAAGAAGAAGAAGAAGAATCATAAACAACAAAAGAACAAGATTTGATAATCGCATGATGATGTTCTTGTGCATGTACGAACCAAGAGCTTGGCTAATCGCATATTGAAAATCCACTGATAATGTCTCAAGGAATATATTAATTTTTTCCGTGCCCTTACACGATAAAAATCTCTCTTATTAGTTGGAATACTAGTTCTCTTTTTTGTTCTAATTAACTGATTGGCTTTCATTTGCATCAGTATGCAACTTTAATGGAAATTTTCCTACAATGAATGTTAGTCAACAAACTAAAAACTTGAGAATAACGTCGATAGAGAAGTATTTGATATTGAAAGTCAACCGTTTCATGTACGTATATATAATATTTGTCTTATAAAATGTTATCTTCTAAGCTACTACTGATCTCTGTCCATGAGTACTAATTATATATGTTAGGTAAAGGATTTGGGGCAGTACATTTGATAGAAGTTATTTATACGTTTGCTAATATGTTTTTTTTTTTAAACACTCAACGGTGAAGCATGAAATACATTATAGCAAATTATACACAAAATGCTAATATATTATACACAAAATGCTAATATAACACAAAATTAGCATTTTGTGTTATATCAACCACTTTTTCTTTACTTTGACATCTCATAACTTTTATTGGATCCTTTTAAAGGTGGATTGGATCTTACAAACTTCATTTCAAACAAGTTTATCCTTGAATATAAACAAGTTGAAATAGGGTATACATAAATTATAGATAAGGTGTAAATAAATTGCAGTATGTTGTTAAACTTTTTTTTTTAGATGACTGTTTTATCCTTAAATAGAGTGAGACGGAACTTCAAAACATGTGAGCCCCAATATGAGGATTTGACTTTTTTTCAATAGATTTTCTTTGCATTTTTCATAATCCACGTCTAGATGCAGGACACGTATCTTCATTTACAAAAAAAGGATATGATCATTTAAAATTTGACTAATTCTAATCCTTATTAATAAATAAAGACGTATGACTAGGGTTGTAATCGAGTCGAATCGAGCCCGAGTATCGCCATACTCGAGCTCGACTCGACATAGAGATAGGGGTGCTCGAGCACGGGCGATACTCGGGCTCGACTCGACATAGAGATAGGGGTGTTCAAGCTCGAGTTCGAGCTCGAGCGAGTAGTATTATTGCAGCTCGAGCTTGAGTTCGAAACTTGCTCTCAGTACTCGAGCTCCACTCGCATGGGCTCGAGTCCATTCGAGCATTCGAGCCTTATCGAGCTCTATCGAGCTCGAGTTATTAAATTTCATTTTCTTGATATTTTTTGAGTGAAAAGTCATTATTGCCATTTTAAAATTTTTATATAATTTGAAACATTTCGTAAATTCGACAATTTTTTTTGGGCATAATGGTAATTTTATATATTAAATAATATATATAATTTTAATATTAATATATTAAATAATTAAAATTAATATGCTCGATAAGACTCGTCGAGCCTCCGAGCATCTCTTCTGGATGCTCGAGCTCGACTCGATAGCCTTATCGAGCTGCTCGAGCTCGACTCGAACTCGGTTTGATCGAGTTCGAGTCAAGCTTTTGACCGAGCTGCTCGCGAGCAGTTCGGTTCGATTACAACCCTACGTATGACACGTTAAATCTGTACTGTAGAAGATGGAAAGATAATCCATAGACAATGAGTCAAGTCGATTAGGTACCAAAGATGCCTCAATTATGCTAGCTGACCGCAACTTAGATAAATTCGTACTCGAGTCTAAAGGCCTCCACTACTACTACATATTCCGTTAACCTTCCAAGTATTGAATTTTGACATGATATCGTTCCCCAAATATGCGAAGAACGAAAGGTTCGGACTCGGCAAATTTTGTTGATCTTATTGCTTTCGTGTACAAAGTATTACTATCATTTCATTTTGTCAGGCCAAAATTTCGGGTTTCACCATTGAGCACCGGATATTATCAATCAATTAGTTGAGTTGGTCGGAAAAAAAAAAACTCAACAAAACCACAAATACAAATGAATCGAACTCAAGTTCTTTTTTGCTTTTCTTTTCTTTGGGTCCATTCATGGGAAGCAATTAGCGTGGCACAATAACGATTTTATAGTGGCAGACATAATGGATAAGTCTAGGTTTCTTTTCCTTGAAAAACAAAAAAGTATAAATAAATTAGAGGAGAAATGAAGCTATTGCAACAGAAGATGTGAATTAGAACTTACTGGTCATAGATCTCCTGGCTCCAGAAGTCTTCTTTGGGGCTCTCTTCTTCCGACTTGGTCCTGATAATCCCTCCGAAGAATGGCGATAAGAGTATGCAACCACGTACTCTAATGGGACTTAACTCAAGCGAACCAGATCCAAGCTGAATAGCCAAATGATGAGCAATGTTTTCCCCCGAGGAATCACCGAATATGAAAACCCTGTCCACGTCAACCCCACCAATGTCAAACAACCACTTCTCATGAGCGACCTCTCGACTTTCACGCAAAGCCTGGGCTTGAAGAAACTTGAGGGCTGTAACAGCATCTTCTAAGGCTGCCGGAAGCCGGTCCTCTGGAGCCAACCGATAATAGGGGCAGGATAATAGGCCTGAAGCCCAGAACAAAGGCTAAGGCAAGTGTTGTGTGCGTTTGTTGAAGTAAAACAGAAACCTCCTGCATGAAGGTAGCTAGTAAACTACAGGAAGATTCTTGCGGTACTCATTCTTGTTAGAGGAAGAATAGTAATGATTTTTGGGTTTGTATACGCGTTGTTGAAGATTGTTGTTAGAGTCAAAACAACAATCTTTCCAAATGGCTGAACCATCATCGTGGGTTTTGACTTGATGCTCTTTATGCGAGGTCCGAGAAATGGAGCCGTCGCTGCAGAGTTTGAGAACTCCGAAACAACAATCTTCTATTGCTTGTTGTGCGGTGGAGGAAGAAGAAGAATCCATCTTCTGATCTGATGAGTGCAATAATGCAGGCTCATGACCAAGCAGATTCTTTTGTATATTTATTCAGAGGAAATGAAACTAATGTAGTAGTAGCATTCAAGGAAATTAATTTAGTAGTAATCTAGTAGTAGCATTAAACTAATTTAGTAGTAGCATTCACTTAGCGTACGTTGCAATGGCGTGGATTAGCTTTATTCCAGCCTGCATAAATTCGCGTATTAATTGGTCATTAGTCGACAGAATAATTACAGCCACCTAAAGTAGAGGCGTCTTTGATGTCATCTTTACTGAAAGCAATCCTTTTTCACTAAACTATCGTTTGAAAATTGTTGTTATCTTTTTTTTTTTTTGAAAAACAGACAAACGATAAAGTATATATAAGCTAAGCTTCAAGATAATCAACTAACATTTCTTAATTATTTAAACTAAATTCAAGTACACTAAATTGGTTAAAATTTTAATTTCACAGGGAGATATATAATTGAGGTCTAGAGTTAGGTGATTGTTTTTATTTTGGCTTGTCATTTATAGTTTCCTTAGAAAACCAAACACAACAAAATGATTACTTTTGAGTTCTGTCTTTTTGCCCCTAAAATAATTTATGCTCCAGCAGTGTCAACTCGCCCATTTTTTCTTTGGAAAAAAAAAAAAAAAAAAAAAACTCTTTCTCCTTTGGAGGAGTGAATTTGTGGCTCAAACCTATGTGGTTAGCCTTAATCGATGTAATGGACTCTCTTCCTATTTGCGTCAACCTCCCAGCGTAGCTGCGTAGTCCTCCACTCTCTCTCTTTCTCTGAAGTTCACGGCCACGAATCCAGAGATTCTATTTGTCGGCTCAAAGGCCCAAAAGGGTTTTCTGAAAACGGGCCAAGCTTCACGGACCGCGTTGGAAAGCACCAACGGCCTCCAAAACCTATTACGCTAAGTGGAAGGAGAGAAACTCGTGTGAGACGTGATCAATGGATGAGCAGAGCTTCAACATTTTCACTTTTTTTTTTTTATTAATGCAAGGGAAAGGGTTCGAATACGAGATCTCTCACTTATGTTTATACGACTCAATCCACCACTCTTCGATATCTTCACTTCAACCTCATTTGGTCACCACATGCTATGGAAATATCAGAGAATAATACAGTACGTGCACTAGAAAGGAGAGACCCATGTTGGAATTTGGATCAAATCAATTCTCCAAAAGTATGCTGGATGAGGAGATTGAAGTTCTTGAGTGAAGAAAATAAGGCAAGTAGGTCAACTGGAACATAATTATTTCTCATCAAAGGGAATAGCTAGGGCTTCTGTTTGATAAACCAATTGTATAAACTTTCTCCAAAAGAAAAAAAAAATTTCATAGTCCATATAAATTGGGTTTGCTTGCTCTATTTGTTTAAAGATTTTCTTAACACGTTTCTATAGTACCTTTATTTCACATACACTATTTTCAAAAAAGAACACTAATATATATATATATATATATCTACGAACTCTTCCCGAAGAAACAATATAATATTTGAGCAGTAATTATGCAAAATTTTAAAGTGCAAATCATTTCACCAATCAAAAAAGTACGTCAGTTTGTGAGGGGGTCATAATCATATAGTTGAAAATTTAAGAAGCTAACTTCAACAACAAACCTAAGGGAAAAGCATTAGCCAATTTAGTGTGTGTGTTAGTATATGATAAGGCTGAATTAAATAATTTCTCTTCTTTGTCGCATGCCCTTTGGTTCGTGTTTCTCCACTTCCGTTGACAAGGATAGGTTCGTCAACCTGCTCAGAATTGAAAATTTCAAACCATAATAATAGTGAAATTTACTGCGTCAGAAAAGATTTGCACTCAAATTGGTGGCCGTGTAAAAGGGACGACTCTTGCCCTGCCAAATCTTTTTAACACTAGAACATGCATGCATAATAGGGTCACAAACGAGTCGAGTGAATCGAATTTTGATCTAATCGAATCGAATCTTGACTTAATTTTATCGAATTCGAATTCGAGTTCGACGAGTTGACAATTTTGAAACTCAAACTCAAGCTCTAAAAAAATAAAATAATTATTTTATTTTTTAAAAAAATAAATAAAACAATAATTTTTGTTAATAAATAATAAAATATTAAGAATATATATGTAATTTTACTATTAAAATAAAAAAAAAATATATATATATATATATTTGAGCTTGGGAACGAGTTTAATATTTTGATCTCGAGTTCAACTCGACCAGCTCGAACTTGACTCGATCTGCTGTCGAGCGGCTCGATTCGTTTGCATCTTTAGTACATATCTGTAAATTTCTAGTGTCAGTAATTTCTTTAGAATTGAATTGAACACAAATTTGCGGGGATTATTTAATCAAAAGGATTGCGCAATGAACGAAGAAGATCCACAATGGTATGGTCCGGGTGGGCTCAGATTAGATATAAACCAAAATCCAGTCGCGAACTCTGTCGCACATGAACTTTAAAAAAAGTTGGTCGATTTGATTTTGTTCTTTTTTATGACCAAAAAAAACTTGTATGGTTCTCAAAACAAATGATGGATTATTGGATCGGCATCCTCGAACATCATGTGGAGATTGCACATTTGACTTGACTGAAGGAGACGGTAGATAAGATCAAAAAGCTAATCTTACAAAAAAATAATTGTGGCTGCTACTGCTAGTGGATTCCCAGATATTCCACCAGTCCGAGGCATGTGCCCAAAAAGTCGGCAATAATTCTACTGTAACCACAAGAAAAGCGGGGGGTATGCATTGCATCGTTGGTACAAGGAGAACCTTCTAATTTGATTTGAACCTCCTCAGCAGCTTTAGAGCGGCCGATGCTTTTACCCGTCCCTTTCGGTCGTCTTCGCAAAAAGAACCAAGCAGCCATTGGCATTGGGCACATTTTCTTCACCTCGCCAAATTCGTAGTGTTGGGTTGGACCATTTTGATCCTTTTGATTTCAATAATTGGCACCAACAAAGACCCGGATTTCAAAAGTAAGAGGAAAAATCATTTGATGCGGTCCAAGGACAACGTTCTCTCGTCGGGTATTGCGGTCCTTTTGTTGACGTTGATGCTACTCATTAGCATCTCTTATTGGAATATCCATGCGGTACGGATAAAAGAGAGAGAGGAAGCAGTGAATTGTGCTGGATCGGATCGCATGTGGGGGCATGGTTTCATCTGATTTTTGGTTTTGTAAGAGGCTCATCTTGTAAAATTGATTCGAATTTTTTTTTTTTTTTTTTTTTGGAATAAGTCATGTGTTCTTGTTTACGGTTAAACATCGGACGCAGCTGTGAATCTTGATGTGACATGAGAACGGGAACAAAATTGAAAGACCATAAAAAAAATCACCAGGCCAATGGTTCAGTGGTCACATCTTACCTACAGTAAAAAAAAATCTAATGATTGTGTTATAACATTTTCTTAGTCTACATTATGATAGAGTAGGTTATACAAATGTATCGTTGATGAAAAAAAAAAAAAGATCACAAAAATTTATCTATCTAATCTTTACTTAGTATAGTAATTATATTGAAATTTGAAGGATAATTTTGTCGAATCAGAATCCAAGAGCATCTCATCGGGACCTCCTTGTAATTTTCAACTTTTTTGGACTCAAAAAATCTAAATTGAATTTTTAAAATCAGTTGAAAACACAATAAACTAATTTTTTGAAAATCAGTTGAGAGCTAAAATTAGGTCATGTCAAAATGAGAACAAGGCCTTTTTGTTTTCTCTCGTTTTTCTTTTTCCCTCTCTCTCTCTCTCTCTCTCTCTTTCATCCTTTGGACATACATGGTTAGCAATGAAATTGGAAATTTGGAACAAGGCTGGACTGTCATCCTAAAAGGAAAAGAAAAGGAAAAAAAAAAAGGGTTGGAATGACGACATTACTATGTAACAGAAGAAAAGAACCAAATAACATTTCATTTTTCGAGTCCTTGCATGGGTACGCAGCATTTCGAGGCCTTTACAGTTTGTTTCCTCTTCTTTTCCCTTGCATACACACACATATCTTCCTGTCAAGAATGCGCAACGTCCCTCCGGCGGTCCCTCAGCTTCGAATTTCGTCGTCACACTTCCGCCAATGAATGGCGTCATCACCCGACCACATTACCACGCACTACTAGCTCAGGCTAGCCCGGAGGCCCCGGACAGGACTGGACTCCCAACTGCCCAGCGGCGAGCCACGTTCCCTCTCGATGAGTCCCCATCATGAAAAATCCCCGTCAAAAATCATCAACCATCCACTCATCATTCGATCCCATTATTTATATATGGACCGAAGTTGAAGCCACTTTAGAACGCATTTTTGATTGCCACCGCAAGTCTATGCTCCGGTGGCAGCCCGTAGTCCTATGCAATTACGACCCCCCCCCCCTCTTCCCTCCTCGCCCCCGGGGACAACTCGACATGCATGATGCAACAGCAATCGTGAAAATAAGCCATACAAATTCCACCGCCGTTTATGCATATGAACGAACGAATGAAGAACACTGTGGAGAGTTTGCCGGCTGAGCTGTAAAGGAATTTTAAAGGCGGAGATGGAGGTCTGTCTATGGTTCAATTGACAGTGTTTTCAACCACGGAGCGGTTGTCATGGACAGGACAATTGAAATTTACGTCTTTGAGGCGGGAAATGGAACCATCACTGTACTATTTATTTACGGAGAATTGGCTCAGAGTCCTCCACTCTCACTATGTGCGGTAACGTAAATATTTGCCTTTCCAGTATGAGTTTTTGTTTGGGAACACTGTTGACTTAGCATGGTTTAGTATCAAACCAGGGAAACAAAAAAACATATGAAGTTTTTTTTTTTTTTGGATTCTGGATCTCACTAGTCCATTTCAGAGTAAATTAATGATCATTTTAAAATTTGTTTCCGACGTCTTATACTTGGTTTACATTTTATCTAAACTTATTCACACCCTAAGGACAAATTGGTTTGGTATAGAACTTGTGAGGCTCCGTCCCCATGTTTTTATCCTCTTATTTATTTGCAATTTTATTCTCGTTCATGTTCGTTTCCCTTCATTACATCATCGGAAAAGGTTGCTTTATAACACTTTCGCGGAGATGTTCCCAGGCAAAAGGGTTATCGTGGAGTAGCAGCGGTACGTACGTGTTGGGTATTAATCACTTTATGATGATGTAGTTGCAATGTTTATTTGATGCTGTTTCCTTGATTTAGAACTTGTATTACTGAGCTCAACTCCTAATTAAGCTAACCAAAACCAGTCAAAAAATTAAGTTAGGTAAATGGGAAATGAGAAACTTTGTTGAAACACCCGCGGTCTGACGGAACAAAAATGTAAACACAACCATTTTGCCGGAATCGAATTGGACTTCCAAAATGAGAACTCATTTGAGAATTGCCACTCGGATAGCCTAAAAAAAAAAAAACAAATTATTTTTTTTTAAAATTTAAATCACAAATTTAAGCAACAAGAAAAGCCACAATATCTGGTACACTGCTCCAAATAGAAACACAACCAGCTTCCTTAATTTCTTACATCGAACCCCTCTATCTGTGACTCGCAACCTTGGGATTTTTCCAGTAAACAAAGCATGAATATATGCGAGAAAACAAATGGAGACAAAGCAATATGGGACACAATTCATCAACCCGAAATTTTGGACATCCAGTCTTTTATCTCCTGTAAAACTCTGTCCCCCAATTCAGAATACGGGTCATTATTGAAAAAGCCATGATACTTCCCTTCAAACTCCACATACTCGACTTTCTTCCCGGCTTCCTTCAACCGTCTTGCGTAGTCCTCCACTCTATCTCTTAGCAGCTCAATTTCTCCGGCGATCACCAACACTGGGTCAAACATCACCGATTCAAGATTCTTTTTGCTAAAAGGGCTGAAGGGGTTGGCCAGCGGATGGTCTGCGTTTTTCCCTGGTGGCAACGATAGCCTCCAAAATCTGTCGTGGGATTTCAATCAGATCATAAAACACGTAATCTGATCCAGTCGAGCATGAAAAAGAATACTGCTCCAACCACTATCTAGCTAGCAGGAGAAGTAAATCTGTTACTTAATTTCTTAAATAAACAAGCTTGGCATGCATAGCTTACTCAACCATGCATTAACTTTGATTTGATAGTATTAGTTAATTAATTAATTATTCTAGTTCCTATGCAGACCGCACTTCCTTGTGTGATATTTCCAACGACTTGACTTCTGATGTAATTGCTAATATAGTAGTAGTAGTAGTATTATTCGGGTGGATAAGGATAAGGTTATCAGATTATTAGGAGTAGTAATTAATTTTAGGGGGAAGTGATTTCATCTGCCCGTGTGTGGAACTGTGGCAGACATGGTACGTGACGGTGGTGATGGTTTCGGATCCACCACTATCAATCAACGCAGGACTGTGCGTACCTGCACTAGAAAACCTCTAAAAATTTGCATATATAATACCTCTCGCAAAAAACAAGTACACGAAGTTGTGAAGACTGCACTTGGGTCAGCTACTCTATGACGACTTTGAATAAATAGATTGCGGAAATTGGATGAAATTACGTGCATTCAAACTTGTTTCCCACAACGCAGGACTAGGTTCTAACTACTACTGCTATAACCTTAATTATGATGCTGCTATAGTATTTGCTTGCATACGCTGTTGAGCATTAATTAATCAGGGCCAATGTTGAAATTGAAGTTAATTAACCATTTAAGCGTACCTGTCAAGAATCTCCACGTTCAGGATTGGTTCAGGCATCCCCTCTGCTTCGGACTTGGTCCTCACCGTGCCACCAAAAAATGGTGCCATCAGCACATAACCACGTATGTGAACCGGGGCCAACTCCGGCGAGCCGGGCCCCAGCTGGACGGCTAAATGGTGAGCCATGTTGCCACCGGATGAGTCGCCCATTATATAAACCCGGTCAAAATCAACCGCCTGATCATGCAACCATGTATCTTGAGCAGGAGCACCATCTGCAGTTGCCCGAGCTTGAAGCCATTTGAGAGAAGTCAGTGCATCGTCCACTGCTGCCGGGAGCCTATGCTCCGGGGCTAACCTGTAGTCTGGTGCGACCACTAAGGCTTGTAGCCCCGAAGCTAGGCGTAGGCAGGCGTTATGGTTGTTAGGCCAAGTACGCGAGCCAACACAGAACCCGCCGCCGTGAAAGAAATATACTACGGGCAGTTTTGTGGATGCGTTTACAGGCTTATAGAGGCGGAGATAGAGGTGGTTTTGGTTGTCAAATTGGCAATCTCTCCAGACAATAGAACTGTCGTCGTGAATTGGGATATTGAAGTCTACGTCATTAGCCCGGAAAACGGAACCGTCACTGTAGAGCTGTACAACGCCTTCAAGGTCTTCCACGATGTGGGGAAGAGAACCCATTTTCGATCGAGAATGTGCGCGCGTGTTCTGATGGTGCTGTTGGACCCGGAGCGTTTTATCGTGAAGATGGAGAGAAATGAAGCAAAGCAGGAGAGGAGCCTGACCTATAATATAAGCCAGAGGGAAAGGACTGGAAAGGATGAGGAAGGTACAGATATTGTACTTAAAGGACATTTGTGTAATTTAAATTGGAGAAGTCCAATGCTACAATACATAGATGACGAAACACATATCCCTTCCCTGCATGTGACCATGGATCGCAGCAAATGGAAGGATATATGTTAAGATGGCAAGATATGATGCTAACCCCACAATGGATAGGCGTTAGGTTGGGTGTGATTTAACTCTGCTGAACAAGTACATATTGCCCATTACAAAAATCTTTAGATTAATGTGCCCGTAATTATTACCACTTAATTTTGGATTTAAACACTTTCCTAATTTAATTCTATTGTACTATTCCATGCAATCATTAGCTTTGCATTTAGACACTTCCACGATAAAAAATAGTTGCGCAAGCTGTCCTATTGCTCTTAAGTAAACCATTTTTTTTTTTTGGCAGAATAATCTGATGTTGCACGGTAGTTGAATGAATTAATTTGACAATATGTGCTTGAAGTCATTTACAGTATATCGTTTTCGCCAGGCAAACAAAACCTGTATGAAACCCTATCAACCAATTTGCAAAGTTCGATAAATTGTTGGATCTCAGACTGATATGCAACAACTATCTTCACATTCATTGACTCGGTTTGTAGGCATATTTAAATAAACGCTGCCACCATGCACTAAATTAATCTGTCGAATTAAGACATGCATGTAGTAGCACATATATATATATATATATATGTGTGTGTGTGTAACTTTTAAGAATTTCTGACCATTATATATCGTCATCACTTCTAGCTAAGTACACATTATTATCACTGTCTTGCAAATTTTCATGACAAAAGATCATCCATGTTACTAGATAAAAGCAAGAGCAAAACTTTCGAACCCTCGCATGTACTTCCCCTGTGGGGTTTGAGGACGTTTTGGCTATAAAAATTTTTCCTGGGAAATTTGGTCCATACACAGTTTGGAGACACTGCATCATTCTAGTGTTCATAGTTTGAAGGAAAACAAATTTTGATCCTTAATAACTTTTTATTTTAATCGAATTAAGGCAAATCAAATTACTGAATAAATGATTTTCTTGAAAGCTCTACCAATTGAAACACAGGGCAGATATTGCTTCATCAGTTGATTAACATCCGATCCATCCACGAGACTTTCAGTGTTGGTAATTTTTTTAGTCGCTGGAAATTGCTTGTTTTAGCTAGGTCAAAATTGGAAACATAATGGACCGTTTGTTTTATGAGTACTGTATGAAATTTCGTTTTTGGAAAGTTTGTTCATTGGGCGATGAATACGTACGTACCCTCCAGCCGGGAAGTAGAATCATCTTTTACGAAGAAGCTTTCACTCCAAGTCCAATGGATTTTAATAAAGCTACGGTACAAGTTGCCCGAATGCCTGCCAGCTCCTACTTGATTCGACATTCAGAGTGACTCTAGATTATTTACTTGTTGGAATCTTCTACGTATTCTCTCTCTCCCTCATTTTTTTCTGCATCTTCTTTTGGGACCAATTCCGACTGCAAGATTCAAGAATCACCCTTTTTCCTGTACTGAGGACAAGAAGATCATGTGTACGCACGAGATAAGAATATGGAGGAGGAAATTACGGAAATTTCGTGGAATTGTTACGCCATTTATTCCATGCATCCCTTATTCCGGGGCTGGAACGGTTGTCAGAGCAACCGTTCCGGAAGGTGTAACACCATTTGCATACGGTGTAACATTATCTGTACAAGGCGTAACAATAAAACAACAGCTAGTAATACTAGAACAACATTTTTGTGGGTTTCACACGGCGTGAAAATCGAGTTACAATGAGTGATCTGAGCCGTACAAATTTTTTTCACCTAATCATGACCGTAAACCTTCGGAACGAGACAACCACTGTTCCAGCCCCTGCTCCCTTATTCTCCTTCAACCTATCCTTCCTCTACTAGGGGTGGCTGAGAACCTTTTCAAGTTTAATCAGTAGACAGCTTTGCTTGAATGAACCAGAACCAGTTGCTCATTTCCAAGAACTTTACTAATTAGGCGCCGAAAATCGCGACCCTATCGATTTGCTTAATTGACAACAGTTGCAGTACTGCAACAGTCGAACCACCTCCGTAGAGATATTTCTCTCCTTATTTCAAACATCATTATTACGCATTGAACGCTGCTAACCACAGACCATAGCTTGGACATGAATAATGATTTTCAAACACTCTTTTGAGTCGCTGTCAATGCTCTATGCACCACCATCTGCAATCCGCAGACTGCAAAAGGAATATTAAGCATCAAACAAAAGCCTCGCACGGCCGACCGCCGGATGGGACTGAATAGTCCGTGATTTTGCCTTTTAGCAATAAGACAAAATTGTACCCCCACCCAAAAAAAAATGTGCATTTTGACAAATTGATGATACATGTATTCTGTCTCTCTCAGCAACCCACTTCACGGGGATGCCTAAATAGTAGAATGTCGATCGGGGAGTGCTCGACCTTGCCTGCAGACTTCAGATTGCAGGCCTATTTTAATTCTCTTGTTTCATTGTTGCCCTGAATCTGCTCGCTAAAACTGCAGCTTGCTGCCGCGCAGGAGCTGTTGGATTACCTTATTTATTTACTTATTTATGGTTCTTGGGGAGGCTAAAACATACTTGGGGTGGTCTACCCCATAATATCATTTCCAATCAGCCCTCTGAGGTCATCTGGTAGCTCTGAGTAGAGGACAGCAGTATCTGTGTCCATGTTAAGGCTTGCTAACCAGTGTCAGCACAGAAATGGTCCGAACCTTATTTCATTGTAAACAACAACAACAACAAACAAAGTGGAAAAAAGTGAAGAACACCAAGAAGATAAGCCAAGCGCCTTTTGACTGTTTAGATATTGGTCTGGGTGGATTAATCAAGGACTGAACTAGTGTCGGAGATTAGAGGATTTTAGATCTCTAACTGGATACTGATAATGACTGTAACCTCGTATACTTCCTCCGGCATCTTTGTCCGCCAAAGAAACAACAAAATTCTAATGTTAGAAACTTACACTCTATTGCTCCCCCGGCTTCTTCCCTGTTTCTTAATTTGGAGTTGGTCAACCCTTCTGGCTCCATTCAACTTGTAAAAGAGCTGATCCTTCCACTCCACCCTCCGGTTTCGCATCAAACGGTGTGAAATTTTCATGCCAATCACAGTTTTTTGACGGCGAAGAAACTGGAACATACACCAAAACAAAGCAACTCAAAAAATTGGTGGCCTTTTTGGTGTAGCCTCCAATTGCCTAACTAATTATAATTCTATTTCATCTTCTTTTACCGACCAAAAAATAAGAAAGAAGTTTAGACATGCAATATTTTTTGACTCTTTTTTTTTTTTCGTAAGTAGAAGATATTGAATTGAGTCTTTCTCCTTATGTCCTCCTTTCTATCCTACCCAACCCACCTCCAACCTTTTTTTTTTTTTTTTTTTTTCTGGAGATGATAAATCTAATCTATCTTACACTAAGGGAAAAAGGGTGAGCCTAAGGAGGTCCAGGGATAAGTCGGAGGGGACTGAACCACCACCGGACCAGACGGGTGCACAGCACACCCGCCTGAATTTTTTGAAAACAAGTCACAGAAATGTGACATTTTTGGTGGGAGGCAAGGGTTCGACCCCACCAAGCAGGTGGTGGCCACTGAACCCCTCCAACCCTTCCCCTACTTTTCTTGAATTTCTTTTTCTCACGCTACATCATTTTTTTTTTTTTTGCTTTTTTTTCGTCTTAGCATTGTCTTCAAGCCCCCGCGGTTCTTTACAATTTATTTAATTTTGGAAGTTCTAATATGCCACTTGCAAATGATTCGAGATTTTCAAACAAATACTCCATTTACTTAAAGAGTTTACTTCAAAAAATACGATTGAAAATCATAACATGTCCGAGTCATTATAAGTATAAATATAAGAATTCATAAAATTAAGCTAAATATGCACCGATAAAAGTACATGTACATAATTCCTTTTTTTTTTTTTTTTGCAAAAAATTGATACTCCATGTGAATGAGAGATAGTGACCGTCCCTGTCGGATCCAAAGTGTCGGCTTCACAAATACTACTACTCTTTAACGAGCAGTAGATTGAAACACGTCGCATTCATATAAAAGATTAATAGATTTATACACGCTTGGACGTTAGTTTGGGCAGTCTCCGTAAAGACTAAAGAGTAGTTTCGTAATCGTCATCAATGACGAAAGCCAGACTAGGCATCTGCGACCCTTTCGCCTCTGTCACGTTGTAAGGACAAGTTATCAAGAAAAATCTTCGAAAAGCAGCACAGAGAAATAAAATGATTAAGCAGAGGGTCGTTTAGGAAGGAACTCTACATTAACATCATCGTAAAACTTTCTTCCCCGCTTCTTTCAACCTGTTTGCGTAATTCTCAACCCTGTCTCTTTGTATAGCTCAATTCCTCCGGCAATGACCAATATTGGGTCGATCATCACTGCTTCGAGATTTCTGCTGAAAGGGTTCGATAATCCACAGCAAAATTTTACAGCAAAATTTTCGTCTGTCTTTACAGCAAAATTTTAAATTCGACTCCCACTTGCTATTGTTATTGGACACCTTTGGAGCGAGTTTTGTCCAATTTGAGGGATTAATCTAAATGATTCTAGGATACTCTCCGGATCGAAAAAAAAAAAAGCGCTTATTTAGGCATTTCCAAGATACAAGAAATAAAGCCGAAAAAGTAAACAATCCTATCCTTAATGACCATGCATGTGGGACGGACAGCTTAGTCAACCAGCAACACTCACGTGGTGTAAATTAATGCTTAATTAATTTGATCTTATTATAAGCGCAAAATTATCCTGTATCTGATAAAACTGTAGAGCCTACTTCTATCCATTCGCAAAAGTCCATGGGATAAGTATGACGTCATAATTTTGTTGTTGGAATATATAATTGACACTACATGTGAAATAGTAGTGACTGCTACCTCGTCGTGTGCTACTGATGCCACTCAACCTTGTACTGCTACTAAATAAAATTGAATGAATATTTTCCTGA